AAACATGGTTAAAGATAGGATAACATGGCTCAGTTTCTGGAAATTCAAGCGGTAGTTCACATAAAATATCGGGAATATTTGATGTTATAAGTTACTGCTATATTCGGCATAATGTGGTCCACGTATGAATATACTCTCCAAAATACAATAATACTTCTTTTATGTTTAAAGAATGTTTCAATGTTTTACCGCTGCCTGTTTTTAGAAACACCGGACATCATCTAACTCTGATTTCAGAAGATGGTTGGCTGTTATACTATTGAGAACTTGCAACAATCGTCACCTAACAATAGTTATATTCATTGCTATCAACTAAAATAATTTAACCACCAGATCTAAGGGGTTATATTTCCAAGGTTGCAAGCTGATTTCAATTACCGTTTGATAATGATACGTTGCTTTGACCCTGTGATTTAACTAGAATACAGAAGCTGTGGTCGTGTTTCGTCGCCGTGTTGACGAGGCTTTGGTCTAGTAATTTTAAATGTTGACCCACTGTGGGTATGAAAGAATTGAGAAGAGTTAAACGTGATACGGAATGTTTTTAGTTATCAATGAATGAATCTAATTAGAGTATCAATATACGACTATTCAACGTTTTATATCGTATCAAGGTCGTCATATTTCACAAGTACGAAATGAAATAAAATCAGTCGATTGGGATTGGTTGGCAGTCTTATCATCATGACGTGAGTTAAAAACCACAGAGCGAAAATAACAGGAATAAAATTTGATAGAAAAACAAGATCTTGTAAAAGATTCACATAAGGGTTGTGGACTAAAGGGAGAGGTAAAAGTTCGGGTAAAGCTCCCCGTTAACGCTAGGGTTATTTGTCTCATCCGTACGAAATAGCCTTCCTAAATCTAAAGTTGTAGTAAATACTTACTGAGAACGCCCATAGCTAAACCACCTAGAGCTATACCCATAGCATTACCACGTTCTTTATCATCAGGGTATCTTTCAGCTAACATCCCCATGCCTATAATCACAACAACAGCCAACAATTACACATTTACCGGGCATTGTTCAAATACAGAAATCAATTGCACAAGGCAGAAAATGAAGCTATATTTTGGAAATAACCTTTCATAATTACGTGCAAGAATTGTTCAGAATCCAAATCTCCCTTTGGACTATTTTTTCAATGTAATATATTTATCATTTTACTTAAGTTTTTTCCTTGAAAATGATAAAACTGTACCTGCGACACTGGAACAAGATGAACCAATGCCTTGAATAGTACGAGCCACAAATAATACCGTATAACTTTCTCCAAAGGCAAAAACTGAAAATAAAAAGTAGCACCATGGTTTTGAAATACACAACTGACAGTGTATATACATACTATAGACATTATTGGTGTCATCTCAATCATAGAATGGGATGGGGTGGGTGACTGGTTGCAATTTTAAAAGGCTTCATTCCTACACTTTATTACAACTTCAGCTAAGCTGTAACAGCACCATCTGTTTGAGACGCATGCACACATGCGTTGTATTTCTGACGTAGAATTATAATGGAAAACTGTAGCTTCATATATCGCCAGGGTAGCTTCTAATCAATAGAATATCGATGGCTGTTTTGATCTTCAGATTTCTCTATTCATGGATTTGATTGAAAAACGATGTTTTACTTAATCATTTACATATCGGTGTACTATTCGACTTTCATATTTTTACAAAACTGGTAATCAGAGATTAGTCCTCTTGATTATCGAGCCCATATTAGTCGCCGTAATGTTCTATATTTGCAATATTGTAATAGGTTGTACGAATATATCCAGTGAATTGAATACTGCGGTAATGGCGATGTATTGAGTATTACATCTTGAGTCAAAATAAAAAAATATACTTACTAATAGTAGAAACCATCATTATACAAAAACCAGTGAACATTGGTATACTGTATCCTATCCTGGAAAAAAAAATACAAAAATCCCATTGAACATAAGGGCATGTAGGCAAGACAGGACAAAATGTTATCAAAGGCTACGAAAATTTAAAACTAGTTGAAAAGTTATCGATATCTAGGAAGCGCTAGGATAGGTAAGAGACAGCAACTTTTAGAATAGAGTGGAGCCGCGTTTATCTGGTTGCCAATAATCCGGAAACCCCGATATCCCCACGCTTTTTACTGGGAACGAAATATTTGAATCAAATAGGTATCAGGATATAGATAATCAATCAATCTCATCTATATAAAAACAACCCACTTGGTTTCTTTTTCTCCCAATTATTTTTCATCTTAATTGTAATCTAACATGTTTTCTATCAGAGTGTAGTTCTGATGTTATTTTTAAACGAGAAAGGCTAACAGTGGTACGCGTCAGTAAGTTTCAGACTGGTATAAAAGCTATCAGAAGCCAGGTAAGGGTCTGCAATTCCGGACCAAACGTCAAAGCAAAGTAAAAAATAATCGAACCTGGTGTATAAATGTGAAAGAATTAAAATGTTAATCGATCTATAAACGTTATTAAATTAACTTGGCATTGATTATTTTCTATCAAACATCTTGATTCTATCAAACTATTTCCGGTTTCAACCTTTCTGTAAAATATTGCTTAGTTACCGCAGATTTCAGGCCATAATGAATTAAATTCAAATTTCAAAACGTTAAAACTTTTTCTTTATCTTATGACAAAGAGCGTTGTATTTCAACATAAAGACAATTAAAAACAGCAGTTGAAAGAAGACACCAACGGGCAGACAAAAATCTCATATTTTTTTTACATTCGTGGTTTGCAAGGATTCATGGTCTTAAGGTTCAATATTTTTTCTAGCAAATTTTTGCGTTATTGAAGATAGTGCAAGTTTTCTAAATGTACTTCGTAGTGATTTTTGTGGTAGCTTTGCACAGATTTGAAATAATTCTTTAGGTTAGTTTTAGCCATTTCCGTGTAAATGTTTACTACTTTTAAGACTCTCTAAATAAAGCATTGGGACAATAAATGATAAGTATTGGCCTAACTGTGCAATAAATAGGTTTGCATTAACGATTTATAATTCATCGACTTTTCTAACCTCCTTTATTGAAAATCAGTGACGTTTAAAACACGTATCAATAAATCTTATAATAAGCCAAGGGCGACAATTGATCTGTTACGGTAGTACTTCCGGTTTGAGGCTTATTTCTCGGTTGTTAAATTTCAAGTGAAATAAGATTGAGATTTTTAACAAAAGACAGTTTAAAAGTTGATATATTGAGAATATTGCTAAATATAAACTGTAGTCAACTGTAGTCCAGTTAATCGTATCAGTCTAGGCCGTTGCATGTTGGTGGTAAAGCTGAGGAAGGGAGTTTCAGGCTTTAGGGTGAATCTGTCGATCATTTGCAATTTCTCAATGAAGTATTTGTTCCATCCTAGGTCTGTACATTTCAGACAATCAACCCCCCTCCCCCTTCCCTGAAACCTGATTGATATAATGTCTAAGTTAGCGACGACCAATGAGGTTACAAATAGAAAAAAGCCCTTGTCACTGATCTTTTGTAATAATATTCAGGGGATTATAGAAGAACTTACACAAACTGAAACTACATTCTATTGCAGAAAATCTCTGAATAATTTGAAGGGATTGACCGCTTTATTTCTGAAATCAGTTCATTAATAATTGACCGAGATTCATGATAGAATGAACACAATTTTAATACAAAGCTTTGATACTATCTCTTTATCATAATCTAGTTGCTCTTTATATGATAATCGGCCGTTTCCGTCAACATGCGAGTGGTAACGGAAATAAACGAAAATAGTTTGTGAAGTACTCACTTAATGGAATCGTTTAGGCCCGGTCTGGTGGAAATGCTTATTGCAGTAATGGAGATGTATGAGAAATTAATACTGCATTCAAAGTGGAACTTGATGCAATCAATTTTACTTTAAATTCGACATCTAGTTCATCAAACGTTTAACACAAACACAAACCGAACACAAACCGAACAGGTTTAGCTGTATTTACTATCTTATATATCTAATATTTCAGAAGTAGAGCGTAATAGAGATAAATAACAGAGAGATACTGCAGTGAAAAGGGAACTTTTTAAATATTCATCGGTTGGCCAAATCCTGAATGATGGACCATGGGTCGGGAACACTGAGGTTTTTCTTTATTTGCACTTCATCTAAATGAAATATTACCAGAAGTAAGTGTATGATACTTTTCACATACTTAGAATGTTCATGCTTAGCATCGGAGGATTTCGGCGTTAGTGGTTCCTGTAATTCTAGAAATTAAGGAACATCATGATCTGCAATCACTGGATATGGATTGAAATGATGCCACAAGAAGCTGGATTTTTCTGTATTGTAAGTGGGTATTCTGACCGGGAACAGAACGCCTTATAGCAGCCTGTGTAACAGGAGCTCAACAGAATGTAAAAACTCTGCCTTCATAGAGGGTGTAAAGATCCTACAGATTTCAATAAGTCAACTGTTTTTCACCATCATGTACAAATCAGCTCCAAATTTGTTTTATAATATATCTCTACGTGTTTTAATACCGACTATTGATGTTGACAGTAATAGCTCTAACTCACTGACCGATCCTTAGAGGCCTTCGTTATTTACCTTCAATTTGCTGACGTGGCTACAGACACAGATAAAACTAGAGATGAAAATCCCAGGTCTATAGACACGTGGGCAATTAATTAACATATCAGCTGTTGATTGATTGAACTGAAAGAAGTTTTCTGTCCTGTTCAATCCTGTTTTGTGCAAATGAAAACGACAACGACAACTCATTAAGAGTTCTTGGGCAGATTATTGTTATAGTTAAAGGAGTACAAAACTCCGGGGATCAAAATTAAGTTTCCATGCCTCAAAAGAACCCTAAATAGTGTGTAGGCTATTTGATGTTTGATGATTGGGTTTATGGAGATGGGAGAAGGGTCAAATTAGCTTCTGTAACTTCCCCACCCTCCCTTGGTACTCCCTTTGAGATCAAAAATTTCAGAAGACTAACCTGTTTGTTATAAGTCCAATAAATGGATTAGCTATGAGTTGAATAATGGCTTTAGAAGCGAACATTAATCCAACCTGCACATTTTCATCAGCCAACTCTTGGTGGTTATGTCTATGTCTTTCGGTAGTATAGTACAACGTTTCAGTAACGTTATGACCTCCTATAGTTCTATTTTCACAATATTTTTCATTAAAGGGAGCTAATTTTGAGGACACTGGGAATTTAGGTAAATAGGTCACTCCTTTCCACATGTAATGGTCATCACTGGGGCTTAAACTGTCGTTAAAACAGACTATTTCATAACTCGGTGCTTTGTAAACTGTCACATTTTTAGACACATTTAAAGTTGGAAATGGATTCAGCTTTCGTAGAAAATTTGGCACAACTGGGACTGAAAAGGAAAAAACAGATGATAAATATGAAAAAATTGCCAGTGGTAAACGTGGACCAACTTTTATTCGTTAGATTGGAACATAACCAAAAAAATATCGGCTTCAAAATAGAAAAGATAGTATAAGAAGGATACGTTCCCGTAGAGGACATTTTAAAAATTATTTACAGCAAATAAATGATATATATTATGATGAGACGAAATGAAAAAAAGTTTTTGTGAATTTAAAAAAAATGACTTACCAACAACGGTTAATAACATATTATCTAAAAATAAGGCTATAAAGACTATGATTAATATCAGCTTTCTCGATTCCCGACATCTGGTCACACAACCTGAACACCCATTGGTGAACAAATCTTTTATAGGTTTCGGAAACTGAGTCATCTTTCAACTTCTCATCTGAAATGGACAATAGGAAAAATATATACTCTCTGGCCTGGGTTTAGTTCGAAAATTGTACATCCGGGTTAATCTAAAAAAAATGGATTACTGTCCGGTTACAATGAGATGCTTATAACCTTTTTAAATCATCACATCTGTATCATCATCTTTATTCATCATTCATCATCATCATCATCATCATCATCTTTCATCATTCATCATTCATCATTCTTAGCATTGAATATAACGTCTTACAATACAGATAGGAAGCACGTGATAAAGGTTATGGTAAAAAGCAACGAAATAGTAAACCGAAGAGAAGAGCAGTGATTTCGATTCCACTTGTTGAAGAATTATTTATGTAGGTTATACGTTGTCCTACATTCAAAAGAAAAACGTTTTGAAGCTGTTTGTTTTTTTTTTGAGCGAAACGCACCATATCAACAGGTAACTGAAGAAATTACAAAACTTTTTCTGGAAACATTGTAATAAAAATTGAACGCGGAAGGGTTTAGGTTGTGTCAACTGTATGTTTTTGTTGTTAAATACAGTCTGTGTCTTTCGTGAGGGTATTTCCAGTTGAGACAATTGGATGGCTGGTTTAGAAAAGACTAATCCAAATTAGGTTGGGTGTATGACCCAGTTATTATATCACATGCTTGTTAAAGCCTGTTAATATTATATGATAGAGTCGCCATGCTGTCCAGTGAGTTTTATGATAATCAATAGTGATCTCGTGATTAAAACCAATAACCGTATTATTATATTAGTATAATTAGATATCATTAAGATCTATGGCGTTCACAAGGAGTGGGATGCTCTATTTCCTTCCACACGACATACATAAAAAAAAAGCACTAACGATCCGAACTGCAAAAACGAAATCCAAACAACATACTGGCAAAACATTGGTTCCAGCTAATGAATGAATTTTTCACATGAGGAAGAATATCAATCATAAAATTTGATGAGGAAGTACACGTATAACAAACACAGAAAGTGACAGCTAGCCAAAGGAGTCACAGAAGGTGGGTGGGGAGTGAATTGTGTACGGGGGTTAAAATATTAGACTCAACATTTCAATATAGTATACATTAAAACACAGCCGGGCGATTGTAGTGTGGTGATCTGAGATGTAGACAGCAAAACGTGTCTATGAAAATGAAAAATACAAAAAATAAACATATTAAAAGACGAAACCATCAAGCAATCTGTTTCTGGTTATTAAACAATCAGTTGTCGTTCATATCCTATCTTGTACAAGTGATATCACAAGGGTCTCGGTGTGATAAAGTACTTCCCCATTTTAAAAGCAATTCCTTGTTTAAATTAATATTGCTCAATGACATTAATTTTCAAATTGTGTTGTTGGTTGTCGATATGGTATTACAAGGCTTGGCATTTTCCCTGCCATGAAATAAAAACACTCAAAACTTCGTGCACATGAACATAATCTTATTGAAATGCAAGAACAAAAGATGTAACGGGTTGTTTTGTTTACAAATATTGCCTCTCCCAGCTTTAACTTCCGTTCTGAAACTTATTCGGTAAACAAAATTATTGAATTTTTGAAATATATTAGATGATATAGTAAATCATAAAAAATAGGTTGATTGTAGCAACTTGCATCTGATATACATCAAGGAAGCCATGGGAAACTTCGGAAGCTAAGAACGAAAATTTTGACAGTCGACCCATATCATCACAATATTGATATTGAAGTCAATTTATTCGAGGTTGTGAAGTATATACTACGCCCCCACCCCTCCCATTTAAAATTATGAGGTCTCTGTCTCTTATGATTTCTACGTCACTAACAACCGATCACACTCATACGAAGAATGATAGTGGTATAATGGCAGATGCTCGGAAGGTGTAAGGATGTATTCGTGTGACACACCATCTGTCCAAAATATGTCATCTTGACATTTTCCAGATATGCGCAATGATTACCATATCATACTGTATGAAACAGCGGACCATTATCAATGAGCTGTGTGTATTTTTGGTTTAAAATAAATTGTGTGTTAATGATTGTGAATCAGATCGATTAGGAACTACTTGATACAATGACAGTACTGATAGAACCTTGTCCTTGTCTCTAGTGGCAATCCGAGATCATTATTCCTGATAGATAAGTCCGAAATTCAGGAAAATAACCTGATCAACTATAATGAAATTTTGAACAGGAAGTCCGAAATACCAGATAATATAATTTGATCCCAACGGAATAAAGTTTTACGTTATTCGGCTTTGCAATTGAATAATGTGATTTTATGGGACTTATAATGTTGGTGTTATCCCCCCTTGTTATCTAGCTGATGATTTGATATTGTAATAATGAAATGAAATGAAATGAACATTCACTTTCTTCTGGTGTGTATCTTATCGAAACGTCGTGCTGCTTTACAAGGTAACGATGATGACTGTAGCACACTGAAACAAGGTACACCTTTGACTACCATGATTAGCAGTTGAAGTCTACGCCAGATACGAATAGGGCAGTAGTCTCGGACTATCTACGAATTACAATTTAACTGTAAATCGATGTTTGAGACTACAGTTGTGGTTAAAATCAGTTTATTTACCATTTCCTACAATAGATCAATTAGACTCCATTTTATTTTCGCCATAAAAGGCGTAAAATCGCTTCAGTTTTAATCCGATCGTTAGCATTGATATTTCTACTTCGTCATATATCCAAACATATTTCGGAAATAATAGCTTGGTTTTCAAATATTATTGTTAACAATTAAATGCATTAAATGATTTATTTGCAGAGTATTTTCATTCTATGAAATATTATGCGATATCAATTAATTTGTTATTTGAAGTAATCATGGATTCCTTAGTACATGCTTCAATGCAATTCATACGTATTCTATGACTGAAAAGCTACCTGAAAAACACGTTATGGAAACCTTGAAAATGAAATTTTAAAAAAAAGGTATAAGGTTGTATACACCAATCCTCAATTAAAATTTGCGTTGAAGGAAAAAAGAAAAAATAAATTATTGTCTGAGCAATTTAAAAAGGAATAGGAAAGGACTAGGAAAACCAGCCTGAAAATAGTACTGAGAGTTAGAATGGCTTTGTGTTGATAAAAATATGCTCTTTTGTAAGTTTACATTGAAAAGAAACTCATTTCCCTTCAAGACATTTCAACCCCCAAAAGTCTCAAATTTTGGCTGAAAATGGGCCTCTGTAAAAGCAGATTTTGAAGACATAATGTGTGCTTATGTGTATATTTTCATCAAAGCAAAGACATTTTAATATTAACAGTACTATTTTTCTATTCCAATTCTCATAAAATATAATAGAAAAAATTCAAAAAAACCTTTTGTTTTGCTCGGACAATACCATATTTGAACTCGGTTCAGTATGGATGTGACTGTACCTTCAACCTCAGATTAGTGATGCATGACCAGATGAAAATTAATATGAAGATTGAGCCCCATGTGTGTGCTTAATTGTTTACAACAGTAACCACCTATTGTAGAAATTTGTTTGCATTCTTACGATTATGACTTCCATTGTAAAAACTCAAAAACGTTAGTCTTTCCGCCGGTGACACTCATGGCCTTTTTAATTTTGCCATGTTTGTTTAATGGATTTCGCTTGGATTTTTTACTGTTAATATTCTTAAATCATATAAAATGATATGGTGTTTATGTCCTACTTCACTGCACCTAATTGGACTAATAATGACGCGCAACATACTGCCGTGTGCGATGGTAGGAAATTTAGCCCGGACAGCGACATAAGGCTACTCTTTTTTAATTTCCATCTGTGATCTAGGAGCAAAGCCTGTAGCACACGAGGCGTCGGTTATTGTCTCATCCAACCGATGTAAATATATTGAGGGGCCTAGTTTTGTTATCTATTGATTGCCACAATGACATGGCGACTGCCAGATTGTTCAAGACGATTATATTCTGATTTATTTTCTCATTAAAATAAAGCCTGTAAATGTAGTTTTTATTCTAATTTCATTCTCTAATCATTAAAATCTACTTTGATCGACGGCTGAAGACATTCCTTGACTTGTAGCTAGTATCTGCCTGTAGAATGACGATTCGAGGAATGTTGCCGACATCTATTGTAATATGTAAGATTGTAATATACTCCAAGTTGCACAATTGAGTGTTAAAATGGAAACTTCGAGGCCTCTGTTGAATACTCATTAGCATATTGCCCTGATTCCCAACCTAGAGTGTTTTCACCCCCTGGGAGTGTGGGACTAGGGTGTCAGGGGTGTGGCCAATTGGTGTAGGAGAAGAATTTATTTTGAGTAGAGAGAGTACCTCTCATCATCACATGCTAGAAATGTGGATGATACAAATTTTTGGGGTGTGAATGGTCCATGTGATTGCTCTGGGGGTGTGAAGGGTGAAATAGATTGAGAACCACTAGCATAGTGCGTACCGTACTCTTGTGAACGAAATTACATCTCGTTTAAGATATTGGCGTCAAGAATATGACCGTTGTTGAGGAATTTCAACAGTTCTCAAACTGCGCTCCATAGACTTCGGAACTACAGCGAAAGCAATTATAGCTTTAGAACTTAAAATGATTGTCAGAGTCGCTGAAACTTCAACCAGCGTCCCTGAGCAGTAGTCTTTACCTTTCCCAGTTTTCAACTTCGACCATAATGCTTGATTTAGTGAAGAGTAATTCGTTCAAGACCTGTACTCTAATAGAAAATATTTCCTCTCGAGGACGTAAATATGTACAAGTGGAAGCGAAATTAGATTTTAAGAGGACTTAACTTAACAATTTTATTGTTGGCCTTGCTAGAGGGGATTACTCTACAGATGCTGGCGACTGAACTCGGTATAGAAGCCACCTACTTGAGAAATATAAAGTTATGGCAGCCCAGACACAGCGGATATGACATTCTCATACATCCTTTAATAACTTGCCTTATTAATGAATATTAAATAGAGAAGATTTGAATTATTTATAAGAGTAATAACTCTGTTATTGTCAATTTAATACAAGAA